CGTTTGGGTGTCTGATAGCTAAGAAGGGTCTCCTTCTTCTGACAAGTGTCTGTGTCTGCCTTCCACAGCCATGGCTTTCATCACCTACATCCTGGTGGCCGGCCTTGCACTGGGGACCCAGGACAGGTAAGGATGCCGGAGCAGGGAAATGGGGTGGGAATGTGAGGCCAAGAGTTGGCTGAGACAGTTGTCACATCAGTGAGTGACGTTCTTCACCCACCCACATGAAGTCCACTGTACCCTTTTGTGCTGGGTGACCTTCTCAGTCCACGCTTCCTTCCCGTTTTCCTCACCCACAAATCTGCCCTTGCACTCACAGCTCCCTAAATGAGCCGCTCCCCACCAGCACCCCTGTACTCTTGCTCTAGTAGCCTCTGGAACGTGTGGTCTAAGAGGCGGTCCTGGCCTCCCCCACCCTATTCCGTCCAGCTGTCTGTGGCTCAGAGACCAAGCCCACTCCTTGCTCACTCTGCCCCACTGTGGCTGCAACTACTGCCGCCTTTGCATATCCAGTTGGTGTCTTGACTCAGGAAACGGGCTCTTCCCCTCCACGCTCCCAGCACCTGCTCACTCACTGTGGTTCCCATCCTGTGTCACTTCCTGACCTCCAGGCTGTCAGGCTCCACCTCTCACTCGTGGCTGCCTGTTCCTTCCCTTTGGTGGCACCAGTGGGTTCATTGCTAAGGCTCTGGGATAGGGCAGAGCCCGAGGTCCTACCCCACCAGCTCCTGACTCTTCAGGCTTCAGCTCAGCTGTCCCTCCTTTAGGGAGGAACCCTCCCGGTACCCCTCGCAGGGCTCAGGGGTCCCTCATTCAAGTCCTGACCCGAGTGTCACTGTCTGGGGACAGAGCCAGATCCTTGTTGGTGGTCCCTGCTCCATCTCCAGTGGCCCGCAACACAGGCTCCTCCAGGGGAGATTCCGGGGGTGCCTAAGCCTCCAGCCCCATGACAGAGCAAGTGTGGTTGTCACTCTGGCAGGTTCTCCCCAGACCTCCTGGGCCTGCAGGCGAGCTCGGCACTGGCCTGGCTGACCCTGGAAGTTGTTGCCATCCTGCTCAGTCTCTACCTGGTCACTGTCAACACTGACCTCACCACCATTGACCTGGTGGCCTTCTTGGGCTACAAATATG